CAAATCAATCAATGTGATACACTACTTTAATAAAAGAATTAATTATTTATGAGGAATCAAGTTCTTCAATTTAGGGAAATCTTAGCTTTTTCAGCCACTTAGTTATCCTATGTGTGTGTGTGTGTGTTCTGTGTTTCTTTCTGTTAATACCTATATTCCCTCATGGAATTTCTTGAAGTATCTGCTGTAGCTTTACAACATAGATCTTAACCGCTCTTTCTTTTTTATTTCTCTTTTCTTTTTCCATGATGTTTCTGAATAAACTGTATATTATTATTTTCAAATTTGTTTTCTCTGTGTCCAGCCTAGAGTTTATTTAAAGTTCCATGTTGGTGTATTTCATTCTCAAGTCTAATATTTATCATTTTCCACCATTTTCTATTATAATTTTTCTGCTTATATCTTTATCTATATAAGAATATCCCTAAATTGAACAAGAATATATATATCCATATATATATATTCTTGTTCAATTTAGGGATATTCTTTTCCATTTTTTCCATTTTTTATCTTTGAGGATCCCAAACATTTTTTTTTTTTTTTTTTTTTTTAGATCGGTCATTTAAACATCTCATTTTCACTTAATCTTGAGTAAATTCATTTTATGATTGATTTTTGATGGCTTGTTTTACTAGAGATGGTTATCTTCGTGGATTTTAGAAATTTCTCTTCAATCTCATCTTGAATAGGAGTTTTCAATTTTCTCTCTGACTTCATGTGTTTACTCATCACTGTGTACAGGTGTTGCTTCTTCTAGTTCAGCTCACTCCATCACTACCCCTACTCTTGGTTCAAAAATACATCCTGTATTTGTCTTATCACTTTCAGTCCTTAAGCTAGCCAGAGGCTTGACATGATTGCCATGCCTACATTATCCAATCTCTCTAGGTATGCTACTTCATTGAAGGAACCATCCTAGGAAGCAACAAGCAGTAATTTTTTCCCCTCTTTTTTTTTTTTTAAACTCAATTTTATTTTTTCAGTGTTCCAAGATTGTTTATGCACCACACCCAGTGCTCCATACAATACATGTCCCTCTTAATCCCCTCTTTTTTTTTTTAAATGTTATTTATTTATTTGACAGAGAGAGATCACAAGTAGACGGAGAGGCAGGCAGAGAGAGAGAGGGAAGCAGGCTTCCCGCCGAGCAGAGAGCCCGATGTGGGACTCGATCCCAGGACCCCGAGATCACGACCTGAGCCGAAGGCAGAGGCTTAACCCACTGAGCCACCCAGGCGCCCCTTAATCCCCTCTTTTTAAGAGCAAATGAGTCCAATTCCAGTGTCTGATTTTCAGCAGTGTGCCTGGTTCCAGTCCCCAACTTCATGTGGGATAGCTTTATTTCCCATTAAACCTAAGATCTGAACATCTGTTCATCTCTACTCATCTCCAAATCTAATCCAATCAGGCATCCAGATTCAACCCAGCTCCACCATTTGTTATTCCATTTACTTCAGTTCATCAGAGATATATTTTGTTGGTCAATATGACCATATCTCTCTCATTTTCTCCTGTTATATATTTTTTTACCATCTTTATGTGTTTTTCATAGCAGAGAAAGGATTCAAAGTTTGAATTTAAAATTCCATCTTTATGAATTTTTTCTTATGCCTTTTCAATGACATTAGACTAGCTCATTGTGTCAATGCACTTAAGTATTAAGTAGTTCCCCTAAACATGGACAATGAATTATTTCTACTTTGGGGGCCTTTAAAACAAAATGTTGCACTGAAAATCTTTTTGTAGATATCTTCATATACTCCTGCTGTTCTTTACATGAATTTCTAGAAATGAAAAGTTTGGACCAAATTTATATTCTTACCAGCAGGTGGAGGGCCTCTTTTCCCCATAATCTTGCCATCATTATATAATATCAATATTATTTTCTTTTGTCCAATATGAAGAATGTATCTGTGAGTTTCTTTTCCATGAGAGGTAGACATGAAATTTCTCTCCCTGATCCCTCATCAATAATATAACTGCATCTCGTTGGTTGGAAGTAAGGGACCAGGTATGAGAGAGTATAGTTTTTGGTCAAAGATAGGTCCTTTGAAATTAGAAGCTCTTAAATATTTATTTTAATTAATTAATTAATTAGCTCCTAAATATTGATGATTGTATTATAGTTTTAATTTAGGTCACATTCTATTCTTTGCAGGAATAAAGTAACTTATTAAGGTGCCTACACTTTTACTCTGATGATAGCAATTTACGTATAAAGGAAAAGCCATTGTGACCACCTAATGTGAACTGATTATCCTGAAAATTTTTAAATGTTTAAGCTAGCATTTGGAAGTCTTTGAAAAATAAATATGAACACTGAATTTAGCATCTTGAGTAGTTTAAAAGTTTTTAAGCTTTTAATGCTAATAATTTAATTAAAGTAAAATTTAAAATTTCAAAACATCATAGACATATACATATATTTAATCCAATATTTATATTTAAGGTTATCTTTAATACCTGAAATGTTTGTAAATATTCATATGTAATTATGAGTTATGACTCCTCAAATATTTGATACATTATAGTTTACTATATTGAAGCCACAGATCAAATTAGAATCAGATTGAGGGTTAAATTATTACATTTCACATTTTGCATTTATTTATTTATTTATTTGACAGAGAAAGAGAGTGAGTACAAGCTGTGGGAGTGGCAGGCAAAGGGAGCTAGAGAAGCAGACTTCCCGCTGAGCAAGGAGCCCAATGCCAGGCTTGATCCCAGGACCCTGACTGAGATCATGACCTGAGCCAAAGCCAGATGTTTATCCAACTGAGCCACCCAGGTGCCCCAATTTTTAATTTTTATTTATTTATTATTTGTGTGTGTGTGAGAGCACTTAAATTCTCCTCTTTTAGCAAATTTCAGTTGCATAATACAGTTTTATCAACTATAGTCACCATGTTATACTGTATTTCCCTTTGATAATGCAACATAAATTTGATTTCACTTCTGATTTTTTACATTAAGTTTTGATTAACCTGATGATTACTTGATACATACATGTGATGTTTCATTAAAAACATTATTACATGGATAATCCAAATCCCAATCAATACACATAAAATTATCTCTCAGAACCCAATTTTCCAAAGATACCCAGTGTATAGGGTCAAAGTACACTACCCACAAATATGCTATTTTTACATAAGTATTATTTTGAGCTGAAAGCATATGAAGTTCAAAAGATGTAGAAAGAAGCCTTCTTATAGCTTCCTTTATATGACTATAAGCATAAAACTTCTGAGAAATGAGGACTTCCATAAATCCTTTTTTAGGGAAATTGTATGGCTATGAAGAAAATAAAAAATCAGTGCCTAGATGGACCTGCACACATTTTATTAACTAGCCCTTATCTTCCATTAGTTCTCAGATATATTCATCTACTTACAACTTCCCATCCCTACAAACTTGAAGTTCTTTTCTGTTCTTTGGACACCTTTCCACAAATTTACTATTATTGCTAAGATTCTATAAGCCCAAGTTCTAACCAGCCCCTGGAGTTACTCATCACTGAGTTTTCCCACATGCATGTAAGATGCATGTATATATAAACTTGCTTTTTCTCCCCCCCCCCTTTTTTTTTATTAAACTATCTATTATCTGTCTAATTGTAAGGGCCCCAGTCAATGAATCTGATGTGGGTATAGAAAAATTTTTTCCTCCCTTCATTATTATTTATCAAGTTATTATCTATGAAATTTTAATCAATATAGTATGTTCCAAAAAGATAATTTCTAAATTTAAAGTCACATTTTTAAATCAATAACCCCAAAACTAAGACACTTAATGTAACAATTGAGAAGAGTCACATAATTGTGAAAACTATTGTTACAAAAGTAACCATTTTGAAAACATAAAGAATGATCCTCAGGAGTGTTTATTTCTCTATGCTTATGCTAGCTTATATTTATCTCTTTATTTCTTAGTTAAATGCTTAATTACAAACAGGAAGTGTGTCCAAATAAAGAAACACAATTTCTTTTTATATCTTTAGATGTCCATGGGCCATGTGATTTCCAGTGTGTTTGCTTAATCACAGCTGTGATAACTTTTCATTTCTATGTTTTGGTTGAAATACTTAATAAGGAGCAAAATGAATCACCAGATATTAGGCAATTCAAAGAGCAATTTCACCACATCCCAGAGATGATTCCATAATATATCCTGAAATCTATAGGGATTGTTTCCATGGATTATTTGGTGAATGATATAATCCATTTCAAAAATTATACTACTATAGTTATTGTAATATATTTTTCTCTAAACTTCAACTCATCATGTGATATTGAGAGGAAAATAAACAAGTTGGTTTATTATGTCAGATAGAACCTACTCTATGTAGAAAAACAAAATGGACCAGACATAATAGATTAATAGACATAATAGAATAATAGAATAACATCATAAAAAATAGAAGCCTCGTGACTTTCAAAACAATTCAAAGGTTTGAAAGACAGTCATCATCTTTATCTTAATGAAATCTAGCAACAGCATGATTAAATTTAGGAATCTACTGTACTTGAAAATAAATGTATATAATTCTGCCTTTTCGTTCCATTCATCTTCATGAATTTTAGGGTGAGGATTTATCTGGGGAAAGAGGAATGTTGTCTGTGTATTAAGCACAATTATCTCTTTCAGAAGTCTGAAATTCCAGACTCTGAATCTGGATTACACGGTTTCAAATCCCAATTCTGCCATAAGGCTCTTTTGACCTTTTTTTAACTTGAGCATGTTAAAAACTCTTCTGGGCTTCAGTTTTTTTCACTGTGAGTTAGGATGATGAAATGAGTTCATGGCAAACATTCCTTAGAGTTGTGTTGGGCCCATAGATAGTTCTCTGTAAGTATCAGCTAGTATTATTATCACACATATAATGGAAACAAACATACTAGAAACACAAGAACCCTTTTTATGCAGGTAAGATATACACTGAAGTTGGGCCAAAGGATTATAGCTCTAGGAAGCCCAAGGTAGAAGCTGAACCAACGTACCTGTACTCCGACAGGAAAACTTGGTTTTATGATCACACAGTCGTAATGTCCCATTGCAGCCTTTTTCATCACTACCATCTTCACAATCTTTTTCCCCATCACAGCGCCACAGATCAGGAATGCAATTTCCATCAGGATGGCACTGAAATTCATTCCCGTTACAACCAGCAGGAGAATGAATCTCTTAAATTGAAATGAGGGAGGGAGAGGCAGAGGGAGAAGGATAGGAAAGAAATTATTATTTTACTTGATGATAATTTTTTCACTTTCTTTTTCTTTTCAGGCATTAGTATGCTGCCAGAGAGAATATATTTTCACTTTAGTTGTTTAATAGCTATAATACTGTCTGATATTTGCAAATTCATTTTAGAAATGTTAATGATTAGAGGAAAAGATGTTTCTTCCCTCCCACAGTATTCCTGAAAGTGCCACATACATTGGGAAAAAGGAAGATATGTAGATACTCTCTTGTGATTTGTATTAGAAACTCAAGAATGAGATCTTTAAGGGCTTTTTGCCATGGCATATAAAAGAGATTTCACACTCATTCTACACTAAATGTTTAGACTTTGGTTGGTCTTTTGACATTCCTTTAGACAACTTCTTTCAAACTAGTAAGAGGTAAATAACCAAAAAATCATAAGTGCTTTCTGGTTAACAATATCTTTGAAGAACAATGTCCAAATTTTTGTAAAAGAACAAACAAAAAACTCCAGATAATAAGCAAATTCTTTAGGACATAAGATTTCAATCTTAGAATGAGAACAGGCACATATAAGAATTTAATGAGGTACTACACATTCAATTTCAACTTATCGATTCATAATTCATACAGTTTGAATTAATAGTATTCCTCAAAACCTCAAAAATATAGGTTAAATTCTACAGGTTAAATTCTTGCATAAGCAAGAATAAAGGAACATAAATATTGGGGATATGGAGTTTTTACAGCATAACAACTGAATATGGCTATCATTAACAGTATTTTAAATTTTTATTAATATATAATATTATGAAATGTCATATTAACCAGTATCTCCAAATTCTGTTGTAAAATAGATTTTACTATGTATTTTTCTAAATAGAAGTTTTAATCTAATAAACTTATTGATTATTTCATATAGCTATATTCAATAATTTATCTACATTGCATCTATAATAGCAATTAATCTCATTATGACCAATTTGTAATAGTTTCAGGTGCATTACCCACTACTTAAAGCTGGTTTTGTAGGAATCATGTGGTTATGAGTTATGATTAAATTTACTTGAGATCAAAGCTAACAATATCATTTATATCACCAAGGCAGTTACTTAATCTTTTTAGATCTCTGTGTGTTTACCTAGAAAGCAAAGAGTCTACAGGGTTGTTGTGAGGAATGAATTGCATATCAGGAATGTAAGTAAATAAGTAAATAAGTAAGATGGTAAGTAATTATTTTAACTACAAAATTTTGTTATTTTTGCTGTTATTTTCTATGATATAAATATTCACTTCTTGAATTTTTCTCAATTTATAAACTTTCAAAAACTGTGTCAGGTGATACAGTATCATGAAGATGCACAAAGTAGACTTACTTCTACTTCTTAAGTGTTTCTAGAGCAGTAACAACAGCAACAAAAATAAATAAAATGAGTAGGAATAAAGAAGTTCATTGGATAGAATATACCTGTTCCAATTCACAGAAAATCTATAGGACTAATTTTTTTGTTGTTTATAATACCTTTACTCATACTAAAATTTAGAAGCAACCAAGATATTCTTCTGTAGAGGAATGGGTAGATAAACTCTGGTACATCCAAACAATGGATTATCATATAGTGCTAAAATAAATGCACTATCAATCCATGAAGAGATGTGGAAGAACAGTAAATGCAAATTACTAACTGAAAGAAAGAAATCTACAAAGGCTATGTAAGATAAGACTACATAAGATACCACTACATAAGATATGACTCCAACTATGACATTCTGGAAAGGGTAAAACTATGGAGATTGTGAGTGCCAGAGTGTTCAGTCAGCTAAGCATCTGACTCTTGATTTTGATTCAGATCATGAATCTCAGAGTTAGGAGATTGATCCTGGCATTGGTCTGGGTGTGGAGCCTGCTTAAGATTCTCTCTCTTATAGGACTAATTTTTAAAAGTAACAACTGCAAAGAGCACTTCTACTCATCACACCCAACTTACAGCAAAGGCATTGGGTTTAGGATGGCTTCCTTCCAAAAAAGAGACTTTTTCTACTTTTCTAGTCTTGCAAATCATTCTGACTTTGGGTATATAGAGTCTTCATGATTAAACAAAATTCTTGTGGGGATCCCTGGGTGGCTCTGTTGGTTAAACTTCTGCCTTCAGCTCAGGTCACAATCCCAGGGTCATGGAATTGAGTCCTACATTGAGCTCCTTACTCAGTGGGGAGTCTGCTTCTCCCTCTCCCTCTGCCACTCCCCCTACCTGTGTGCAGTCTCTCTCTCTCTGACAAATAAAATCTAAAATAAATAAACAAAAATACTTGCTTCCACACACACAATCAACAAAGATGGTGCAGTCTGTGCACATTCAAGAGATATATATGGAATGTGATACAGCAAACTTCCACCATATTTAATTTGTTATCTGCAGAGTGTACTACTTAGCAGTACAGCCTAACTACTACACTGGTAAAGAATGCCGGGACAGGTCTCATAAACAAAATATTGTGAAGTTTCAAACCTAGAGTCTTTTTAAATGTAATTTGAGAATCTTATGTGATTTCAATATTCAGGAAGAACAAAGGAGACAAATCAAATGGAGTTCCAAAACCTAAAGTGATTCCATGGTGAGGAGGCCAGCTGTCATGCAACAGTGAAATGGCTGTTTTCTTTCACTGACTACTTAAACTTCCTTGAAAACAAAATACAAACTTTGGCTCAGCTGAATTTTATAACCTGCAGTATGAGCTCAATCATGTATAAAAGTTGTATTTCAGGTAATTGTCACTCAGTGATTCCAAATATTTAATAATGGAAGGTACAGTCTATTGATTTTTCTATATTCTGTAAAATAAGAGTTGAAGACTGGCAGCTCATATATTGAATCTGTCCTTCAGTATGTTTAATTTGGCAAACATACTATTGACCTCTTAAAAATCTGAAGATTTCCTATAAAAATATCTTGATTTTCCAGTTCCTTGAAAAGTAAGATTCTTGGGCTAGCATCCTTGCAAGGTAACAACTGCTATAATACATTACATGTATTAACATATGTATATGTACATATAATGTAAATAAACATCATGTGTATTAAGATCCTATTTAATTAAATATTAAATTAAATTAATATCCTATTTAATTTAATCCTATTAATATCCCATTATAATGAAGAGATGAAGATACACATTTTCATTGTGTTTTCCCTAGTGGATTTTTTTTTTCCTTGGGGGAGGTGGACAGTAGGGCAAAACTACATTTTCTTTTGCTTTTGAATCTACTTCTGAAAAGCTGTAGGGAAAATTTGGTTTTATTTTTGCTTCAATATTAGTACTAATTTTACTCTCTTGTGCAAATTAGTATTCCTTCTTTGTAAGTCCACCTTATGGATATTCATGAATAATCCTGAAATTCATCACGCTTCTCTCTTTGCAATAGTTTCTTAGAATTTAGAGACAAAATTATGAATCATTTTTCATATATGTATTTATTTGGATCAATCTTACCCTCAGATTTATTTACACTGCTAACTCTTTTTCTGCCCTTTTAAAAAAGTCCTTCCTCTTCATCTTTATAGTATTTTATCTTTCCAGGTTATTGTTTAGATTATTTCTGGAATAATAAGCATGTTAAACAAATAAAGAAACAGGACTGTTATATGTAAGGAAATTTTGAGAAGAAATAACATATTTTACATTTAAAATTACCTTTATTGAGGAAACACTTTATTAGCTCAAATAAAATAAAATGGTATATACCAAATCCAATAGTATATTTCTATTCCTCTTCCCATCCTTTATTTCTTCAGGTACTATGTTGCCTCAAAAATATCAATAATAATGAAAGGAATTCTATGTTTAACCACTTATTGTCAAAGTAATGCTTCGGCTCTTTTAAACATATTTTGAATTTGGTTTCAAAGATCTAGTTCTTTAAAGTCATGTTAGATCATTAACCCAATGACCTAATGGGAAATTCTCAAAAAGATTTATGTAAACTCAGAAATCTAGATAGATTAACCTGATTCAAAAAAGAAACTTGCAAAAGGTAAACTGCTGCTTCGGGAGAAGGGGTTGCCTGTGATCCAGCAGTATGGGGACTTTACATGTAGAATCTAAGACTTTTAGCTCAATGTTACTTACCGCTGGAAATAAATTGTGGCTACACAAATCAAGGTGGCATTGATGAAAGGGAGACTATGCTGCTATTGTCTGTGTTTGTTTTTTTTTTTTTTTAATAATTCCATTTGCATTTTCTTTGCTTCGCCTGGTATTGTTTGGTTTGTCTATTTGTACTTCATAAGTGAATCTACTCATTTGTTTTCTTATTCTAAACAAACATTTATCTTATAAATCTAAATACAAATGTGATGTTTCCCTGAAGCTTTTCTTTTCTTCTTCCTAAACTACTCATGTCTAAACCTCTACAGATTGGTATACTATTAATTGACACCACAATCAACCAGATCATAACAAGTTTAAAATGAGGGTATAGTCTGAAGAAGGAAATACAACAACACCATCATAAATATCAAAATCTAAATGATGAAATAATTCTTTTTAATAATGCTTACATACATATCACTAATGTATCCCTTCTGGATCTAGTTATATTATTTCCCCAAACCTGGACTCTCTTCCTATTTATACTTCATCTATTAATGTCCATAATTTTCTTTAAGACTCGATTAAAATAAAACAATTATATAGGATTGGGTTTCTTATTCTGGTTTTTGCATATTCAGGAATTCATGGATAAGCTTTAGAGATTTATAAGATCTCAGATTTTATGTGGCATTTTACATTATTATATATCTTTTCCCTCTGTGGAAGGAATTCAGAGCTTTTTTTAACTCACAGAGAACTCCAAGGAGAATTCCAAGACCAATTTAACACTTTTCTGTTTTTATTTTTAATTCCAATTTTATATACCTTGCATGTGAATAGTAGTTTATATGGCATTTGATTTTGCTTGGGCTTCAAATTCATCATACTA